TAAAAAGATAGGATTATGATAAAATCAATTCTTTATCCGCAATTTTGACTTTATCCCGAGCTGGAAAACACGCCTAACTTCTTGAAATTCCCTCTTGCACATGTATCCTAGATTGGCATGCAAGTTGGCCATGCAATGGCTCAATAGACGTGTAAGACTAATTGGCTCTCTTCCGCAATGGCTCAATGGACGTGTAAGACTAGTTGGCTTTCTTCCGGATCGACTTTGATGAGTATTTCTTGCATCCCTGATGTTCACATCAGATACGCTATACTCCGGCACAAAGACGTGCCCCGCAGGCAGAAAAGTTCACCCCAGAAATGGCTCAAAAAGACCTTATCATGATCAGAAATTATGCTTCTCGGAAACCCATGTAGACGGACAATCTCCTTAACAAAGGAAACAACCACGGTCTTAGCAGAGAATGGATGTTTGAGGCCAATAAAATGAGCATACTTTTTGAGGCGGTCAACGACCACTAAAATAGAGTCATACTTGTTTAGGCAAGCCTTCAATGAAATCCATGGATATATCCTCCCAAACTCGATTGGGAACAGGAATAGGCTGTAGTAATCCTCCTGGCGACAACGTGGAGGACTTATTTTTCTAGCAAACAACGCAGGCAGCCACATATGATTCCACATTGCGACGCATGCCCTTCCAATAGAATTCCATAGCCCAAGAATGTCCGCCCAACTTACTAGCATGGAACTTTTGCAACAAGGCAGGAATAAGAGGAGAATGTTGGGGAATTACCAATCAGTCCTTGAAAAGCAATTGATCCCGCTGCAGCGTATATCCTTTCGAAGGAACAGCCCCTTGAAGTAAAGCATTCCTGATGTCTGCTAGCTTAGGATCTGCCAATACCCGTTGTTGTAACGCAGCCATATCAAGGACTACCGGGGAGGACAACACCATTAATTCCAGCCTCAAGTTCTTCCGAGAAAGGGCATTCACAGCCTTATTTTCGATTCCCGGCTTGTATTGGATATCGAAGTCGTACCCCAACAGTTTACAAAGCCACTTTTGATGTTCCTCGCTCAGTAGACGTTGTTCAAGTAGGAACGTTAAACTCTTATGATCAGTCCGCACAACAAAACGTCTTCCCATCAAGTAGTGACACCACTTTTGTATAGCCAGCACAATGGCCATTAACTCCCTTTCATAAACAGATTTCGACTGAGCACGAGAAGAGAGAGTTTGGCTGAAATAAGCGATGGGTCGCTGTTGCTGCATCAGTAACGCCCCAATATTGGACCCCGGCGCGTCGGACTCGACCACAAAAGGTTGAGTAAAATCCAGTAAAGCAAGTACGGGCACCTCGGTCATGGCACGCTTCAATTGTTAAAAGCAACCTCCGCGTCTTCATTCCAATGAAAACAGTCCTTAAGTTGTTGTGTTAATGGCCATGAAATACGGCCATACCCCCTGACAAAACGGCGGTAATAGCCGGTAAGTCCCAAAAATCCCCGCAACTCCTTAATGGACTGAGGAGTTGGCCAATTGAGCATGGCTTGAATTTTATTGGGATATGCCGAAACACCATCCCCAAAAACAATATGACCCAAGTATTCTAAACGCTCTTGAGCAAATGAGCATTTCTTGTGATTTACATACAAGTGATTTGATTCCAAAATGGATAGAACCTTGTCCAAATGCACCAAATGAGTCTCCCAAGAATCACTGTAAATCAGAATATCATTAAAGAAAACCAACACAAAGTCCCATAGGAACGGTCTTAATACCTCGTTCATCAAGGATTGAAAAGTGGCCCGTGCATTTGTCAAACCAAATGGCATGACGAGAAACTCATAGTGGCCTTCGGGGGTGCGGAAAGCAGTCTTCGGAACATCCTCATCGCACATACGGATTTGATGATAACCCGACTTCCAAGTCCAACTTAGTAAAAATTGTGGCCCCGCACAATTCATCCAAGAGTTCCTCAATCACCGGAATAGGAAACTTATCCGGTACCGTGGCTTTGTTAAGTGCCCTATAGCCCACACAAAATCGCCAACTACCATCCTTTTTTTAACATGCAAAATTGGACTTGAAAATGGACTAGTGCTCGGTTGGATAATACCGGCAGCGAGCATTTTGCGCACCAACCTCTCGATCTCATTTTTTTTAAGAGGATATTTGTAGGGTTGAACACTTATGGGAGCTGTACCATCTTGGAAGATAATGCGGTGATCCTTCACACGATGAGGAGGCAATTCCGCGGGCATATTAAAGACGGCAGCATGTGTGTCCAGAACCTGTTGGAGCTTCTTTTGGTTTTTCACCTTAATGCTGCCATCTGCGTCCCCTGTTAGATAACTCAATTCCAAGTAAAGACCATTTCCTGCAAGTCTAATGGTGCGCATCATGGCTTTAAGAGAGATCACCGATATAGTCAAACTAGCATCACCTTGCAAAACAACCCCCTTCCCCGTCACTTTGAACTTCATCACTTGAGTCCAATTAACATGCATACCGCCCAAAGTTTCCAACCATTGCATCCTTAAAATAACATCTATGCCCCTAAACTCCAACGGCAAGAAATTTTCAATGATAGACAAATTTTGCATATTCAACACGACCTCTTTACATAAACCCTGCCCTTTCACTGAATCTCTGGTTCCAATTTGCACCCCAAAATCAGTAGTTGGAGTAATAGGTAAGGATAACTCTCGCACTAATTTCAAAGAAATGAAATTGTGAGTGGCACCGGAATCGATTAGTACAATTACCCCACGGTGGTTGATCACTCCTTTAATTTTCATTGTCTCCGGAGTAGACAACCCCATTACCGAATTTAAGGACAATTCGATCACTTCCAGTTTCAACAGCTGCCCCTGCTCCTCTTTAGATTCTTCGGGGTCCAATTCCTCCAACATAAAGTCCTCATCACTAACCAACATGATCTTCAATTCCTTTTTCTTGCATCGATGGCCAACAATGAACTTTTCATCACATCTAAAACACAGCCCCCTATTTCTTTTCTCCTATAACTCGGAATCAAAAAGTTTCCGGTATGGAAATTCTCTCTTCGGTTTCTCCAATTTCTCCGGTCCAAAACTGGATGTTGAAACAGGCTGGGCGTTCGAGGTTGAAGGTGCTGTCAGTCCTGTGAATTGATTCTTCAAAAATCTCGAGCCATTCATCTCTATCCGTAGCAGCAAATTCTTCTCCTCAATATGTTGCGTTGTGTCCATAATCTCTGTGAGGCCCACTAGTTTGAGCAGCCTCGATTCCGCCCTAATTTCAGCCTTTAAACCATTGACGAATATCCCTTCTAAAACTTCTTCTAGTATATCTTGTAAAGAGGCTTCGGAAACCTCGAATTTTCGGCGATATTCGGTCACCAATCCCATTCGCCGAAGTGCCAAGAATCGTTCACACAAATTGCCCTCTCGTGAAGAGTGGAATCTTTGTAACAAAGCCACCTTAAACTCAGCCCAATAAATGAACAGACGACGCCAATTCTGCCATTGAAACCAAGGGAGGGCATCACCTTCCAAAGCAATGCCGGTGGTAGTGATTTTCACCTTCTCCGAAAACCGATTAATGGAGAAAAATTGTTCCATCCGAAACACCCACCCGTCGGGATCTTCTCCACCGAACATCGGATAGTCCAAGTGCTTCCGCCTAATCGGAGCCCAATCTTCTTCCTCCCAACCATACGGCGTTTCCCCTACGAAACTCCTTAGATTACCCCTTGCTTGAAAACCTCGTGGATTACCGACATGTTCCCTCGCCGGAAATTTTCTTCCAAATCTATCTCCGGCGTCGCCATTCCTGACTCCTTCACACCACCCTTACCGTCTTCAGCCCAAAAAGGACCTCCTCCGAATTCTGGTTCGCGCCGTACCCCGCCTAGGACTCTAGGTTCTATCACTCGTCCCCTTCCGCGATTCATTCCATCATCAAACTGCCCAACCTCCTCGCCGGTATCTCCCATCTGTTGTTTGCGACTCTTCTCTCGGAAATCCCTAAATTCCTTCGAATTCCTCTCTTCGCGGCTAGCGTTCTCATCTATGATCTTCGACCCGCTGCCATCTGACTGATTCGGATTAGTTCCCACAGCATATTCACCGGCGATGTTCTGCCCTGCTTCCAATGCCGGCGACTTGCTTCTCTCTGTCGCAAGTAGGAGCTTAATCTGTTCTTCCATCAGTCGGCGTAAATCTGCCATATTCTGGTTCATCTCAGCCCTAACTTCTTTGATTCCCTTCTCCATGGTTTCCTTCACACCTTGAATTTCCTTCTCCCATATTCGAACCTCTCTTCAGATTTCTTCACCGCCATAACCGCGATCGTTACTCTGATACCAAATCGATAGAACCTTGACAGATTCTTTAGCAGTAGGTAAGAAAAGAATAGAGTAATGGTGAAATTGAATGAAACTCTATTGACAATTGCTGAACGATACAAATGAATTACGGAACTTCGAGGGTCCGCAACCTCCCCTACTTGGAAATGACTCCAAGATTTTCCCTTGAACGAACACATAAATCTTCCCTGTTTTTCTCCGTTCCCTTCTCCCCCTTTTATTCCCTCCTTTTCTAAGTGACAATCTTTCTTAACAAGCTAACTAACAATCTTTCCTAATAAGCTTTGTAACAACCAAAGTACTTACAAGCCTGCACAATCACCCTACCCTTTCTTGACTCTTATTCTTCCTAATGTACACTTGCCTGAGTAAAGGCTTATCAAATTCTAACTTCTAATTGTTTACTGTTACCAACTGATCTTATATGTGGAAGATAGGGAGTGCCATATTACTTTCCGAATATGTTAATTGTTGAAATTACATGAAATGTAGATTTTTCTCTATTTCTCATAGTAAAGTGGTTGTTTGACACTGTAATATAGGTTGGCTATGTTCTAAATTCTAACTATATGATTTTTCTTTCCTCTCTTTCATCTGTGAGAGGTTTCTGTTTAGTTAAGACTTCACTGTTCCACGTTATTCTTCCTGTCAATTCAAGTCCTTTATGGAAGCAGTTGCTTTGCAGGTTCGGAGTGGCATCCTCGTATACGGAATGAAAGAAATCATTTCATCTACAGTGACTTGCCGCATTTTATTATGGATTCATATGAAGAGTGTCGTGGTCCTCCACGTTTGCACTTGCTTGACAAGTATAGCAATCTTTTCGTTTTCTTGAAGTTCTAATTATTGTCTATTTTCAAGATTAAATATAGGAAGAGGGTGAATTAAGTTATCCTTACACATTCTGGAATTTTATGCTTTACCATTCAGATTTGATACTGGCGGGCCAGGATCTTGTTTAAAGCGATATTCAGATCCAACCTTCTTTAAGAGAGTGTCAGCTACATCTGATGAAGCAAATTCTGAGAATCTCCAAAGAGATAGGAAGGCACGAAGAAGCAAGGTATGGGCTTACACCTTGAAGAAACGTAGAATGAAATTTTAACCTGTCAGACGCACATATTAGCAATGTTTACTCAGTTTGTGACCTCTTCAGCCTCTTTTTCAATATGCATTTGAAACAAATATAAGCCATCACCTTGCTTCAAACAAATTTCATCAGGTTTTATATGTATTGTTGACATTGAGCGTGACTTTTTCTTTATGCATATGCTGCAATCATACACTTTCCAACTAGAATCTTGTAATATAATCACATCTCACATGAACTTGTTTAGATGAGATAGGTGCTCAATTTCCTGTCGTCTATTCTGATGCTGTCATGTAACTTGGTCGAAGAAAATACTATGTCAAAGCTACACTTATTTTTAATTCCTCATTTAAATTTTTTAATATGTGCAGAAAAAACGGTCATCAAAACAGAATGGAGATGTTTCACGTGGGGGATCAGTGTCCAATTCTCGCAATTACAGGTGACTAATATATCATATATGTCTAAAATGGGAAATTCCTTGGTACAGCCACGGTATTATCATACTTGGGATGTACTAACATTTGTAATCGAAATATTCTATACCCGTAACACCAGGATAAAAAGCAATTATCTCTTTCAATACCATATATGATCCATATGATTTGCGCTTTTTTTTTTTACTTTTTTTTTTTCCATCGTTGATTTGAGACCGAGAAGTTTATGACTTCTGACCATGCAGCATGCAGTTTATTCCTCCTATTATCAATGGACAAGGCTCTCCTCCTCAAGCTGCATCCACAGTTGATACAGCACTTAATTACGAAGTTGGAGATGATTTAAATTCTTTTAATTCAAGAACTGAATCAGGATATATTGAATGTGTTTTCCATCCAAGTTCTTCGGTGCAAGCTGAAGGAGAAAAATTGAAGGATTCGCCCTGTTTTAACTTAGCACAGCATAATGATACTTTTGATTCAGTTTTTCCTGATGAACAAGTTGGGTTTGTGGATGATAATTTTCCCCGAAGTTCATTGCAGGAGCAAATGACCTCAGGTTCATCATGTGTTACCTGGGATGAGAAGGCAGAAATTATGGAGTCTAAGAGACAAGACAGTGGTATGGATGAAGCTCTGAATATACATCAGGGTGAGTATGACATAGGCCCAAATGGATTTGGAGATGGGAACATTGGAATTGTTGATCAAATGGAAATGCTTGATGATGAAAACAAACAGGAATCAGTCTCCAGCCAGAACGGAATTGATGAAATCGATAGTGAACCAGACAATTATATGGACGCCCTTAACACTATTGAGTCAGAATCTGAAACTGATCTTGATTATCAGACAAAGCGAGAGGTGGAACGTTTTGCCTCAACTTCCATTAATGGAGGAACGGATAGAATGATTGAGCTCACTGTGCATTCAGATCATCATCCTACAACATCTGAATCTCACACTGATTGCTTCATTTCTACCAATACAGAAGTTCTCCCAGACATACCCGGATCAGTTTCATCAGAGAGTTGTGTCCGTGAAGAGATGCCTGCATCTGACATTCCCTCAAACAAAGAGTTACCTTCTTCAGAGAGTTGTGTCCGTGAAGACATGCCTGCATCTGACATTTCCTCAAACAAAGAATTACCTTCTGATCTTCCCAACTCATTTTCCTTGGACACTGATGCCCTTGAGCAAATTTCTCGATCGGGTAGGGAATTTGCTACAGATCATCCTGCAGTTATCACTAGAAGCGCTGATATTCTTGATGTTTCAAAATTAGAATCTGTTATTGCTGACGCGTCGTCCTCTGCAACCAGAGCCCCCGATATACAAGATCTGTTAGAAGATAAGAGTCTAAGCACTTTCTGCCAGTCTCAAGAATCTCCAGCTGGCATATCCAGCAATGGTTCAGTAAGGTTTTGGACTAATGGTGGTCTTTTAGGACTTGAGCCATCTAAACCTCCTGATTTTGCAATGTCAAGTCCCATAAGTCCGTACTGCATTAACCGTGGTCAAACTATTACAGTTGGTCCATTAAATCAGACTTGCATGCTTAAGGATGAGATGCATGGGGGAAAATTAAACATGTCAGCCGAGAAGATCCCTAATCAAAACGATTCTGGTTTGCAGTGCTCCAAAACAGGTCTTGATGATGAAGAAGATGGTATATCTTCCAAGAAAATGTCTCAAGGATTTTCAGCAAATTATTTTGATTCCAGTCACGGAAACAATGGTGATTGTCATATTCAAGGAAATGATCTCAAAGAAACGAGCATGCCCAGAACTGGAAAAGTGCTTCTGGAGAATGATGAAAATTCATCTCTGGTTTTTGGACTCAGCCGTAGGTTACTTTCAAATGGTTTTGGTAAAAAGGTATCTGATGTGGGTGAGGACAAATTTGAACGAGCCCATTTGATGAATGACAATTTATTGGGGCAGAGGAGTGAGCTCCATAAAGTTGCACATGAAAAAGTTCCTCAAAAACCCCTCCAAGAGCAGTTTTTACGTCGACCTATTGTAGGTTCACCTACTGCTTCTCCACCACTTGAACATATGAAAATCTCTTTCCATCCTGTAGACAGCTTTGAAACTTCCAAACTGAAGCTAAAATTTTCCGATGGGACACAAAACAATGAGAGCACAAGAGACATGTTTCCCTCATTTCAATTGATCCCAGAACCTGCTGTTCCTCTGCATGATTATGGCTCCGATTCTGATGATGACACCTTTTGTAGATCATCTCCATCCATTTCAGATGATTGTCTTAGCCATCATTCAGACTCAAATTCTGAACAGTGGGAATGTGGAGAAACTACCGAAGGCAAGGATCATGAGGTATATGATGCTTTATGCGGGATATCATCACTGGAAATTGTTTCAAGCTCTCTTGAACTTGGTGGAATGCCCAATAATGGCATCTGCTTTGACGGTGTAATTAAAAGTGAGAACTTGGGGATTGATGCAGAACCTTCTCTCTGCAATGCTATACTTGATCTTCCAAGTTTCGATGCCATGAAACCTGCACTTCAGCTAGATACAATTGGAGATTCCAATCCAAAGCATGTTGTTGTTTCGACGGATCCTTCCCCAACACCACCACCTCCTCCTCCCATGGAATGGCGGGTTTCAAAACCTCATTCGGATGTGGCAGAAGACACACCAAATGTTGCATCTGAAAATTTTAAGATTGCGCTGAGTGCAAAATTGTTTGGTTCTACTACCTCCCAGCAACCAGCTCCAGCAAGCCAACAACAAACTAATGAGGAGGAGCTCACTGTTAAACTAAAAAGCAAGGTATTATGGTAGATTAGTTCAAAGTATCTCCTTTCCTTGTGGAAAGTTATAACAAGTATTCAATAGATACATATACTCAAAAAGTTGGAATTTTGCAAGTAGAAATCATCGAATTCTTTGTTTAGCAGGAGGACCAGCAGAAGTTGAACAGGCAGAAAGACATAAATCATGCTCACAATGGCAAGGGGACGGATGAAAGAGAAGACTTCTTACAACAAATAAGATCAAAGGTGAGGAAGAGGCAATTTTTCTGTTGTAGTTTTCCCATTTTTCAAGATCCTGAACTATATGAGAGCACTTAGGAGTGTTCAAAAAATCCGTCAAACTGCAAAAACCGCCAAATCTGCCAAATCTAAACTAAACCAAACCAAATCATTAATTATTTTTGGATTATTAAGCGGTTTGGTCGGTTTTTTAATCTAATTTTTTCAGGCGGATTGGTTTGTGGTTTAGACTTCCCAAACTGCTCAAACCGCCTAATAATCCGCCTAAAAATATGCATATATAATTTTTTAATTATTAAAATGTTTTTTATATTTATTCTCATTTTTATTAGTCATAATAAAGGTTCTACACTTATAAAATAAACCCTATTATATCTTTGTTGGTTTGTATTAAAACTTTAAACGGTGAACTATTAGACATTTGTTATTTTTTAGTTATATTGTAAACTTGAATTTATTTTTATTATTATTGATTATCGATTTTATAATTTTTATGAATTATTGAAAACATTTTTTTTTTGTTTTTAACTTAAACCGCCTAAATTAAACTGTTCAAACCGTTTATGAGTGATTTGGTTCAATTTAATTTTTTTTTTTTAAATATCATACTGTCAACAAAAATTATTTTTAGTTTAGTCAGTGGTTTCTAAAAAAAAGGACCCAAAGCAACCGCGAAGACCCTTAAGGGCACTTATTTTTATCCGTTGGTTTCATTTTAAATTCAAGTCAAGGACATGTAGATTGGCCATTATATCATAAATAGATTCGATAAAGTGCAATTTTGCTGATTTGTGATCTCTAATTACTGTTATTTCAGTCATTCAATCTCAGACCTACAGTCACAACAAAATCAACTACTACACCGGCACCTGGACCCCCTGCCAGCATCAAAGTCACTGCAATTTTGGAGAAAGCAAACGCAATTCGCCAGGTTCTTAACTATCCTATTTACTTTTTCTTTCTTTTTCCTCCTTATATTCCTCTCTTTCCATTTAGCAACCAATTAAATTAAAGATTCAATAAAATTGTCAGGCTGTTGGGAGTGACGATGGCGAAGATGGTGATTATTGGAGCGACACGTAAGATGCTCAGTTGTGTTAGGTCCGATTGGGACTATGTTCTTGTTCCTTTTAAGTTTGCAAAGTCGGGAACTGTGTTATATGTATATGAATAACGTAACTTTCTTTGTAAATTAAGCGTAGGGTTAATCTTGTCACCTCACTGCAGTCATTTTGCCCTCCTTTTTTATTTTTAAGTAGTTAATTTGTTGTAAAACATGAGATAAGAAGTTAGTTGACCATGAAAGCAGTGAGGCAATTATTTACACAATTTCGTGAATTCTTGTCCTGCTCTTATCGTACTCGTTTCTTTATTGTTTGCTTTTCCTCTTTTCCTTTTTGTTTTGTAAGTTGCCGCAGAATTTAAATTTTATTTATTTCACCGATTCAAGTTTTCAGTTTTAAATTTTTACAGTTAAAATTTTTAAAAAAATATAAAAATTTTCAAAAAATGTTACATCTTAACTTAAATTGAAAATTTAAGCGAACGAGATCTTAATGTGTATTTCTAAACATTGAACATTACATTAAAATAAAAAAATATACAAAGCTCTTTTAAGTTTCACATACTTTTCCCTAGAATTCTCCTATAATAAAGATACCTTCCACGTTATGCGGAAGGGTACCTTGTCATAGAATTTCTAAGTTGAATGCTTGATTTCTCAGCAAGTAGAATTAGTCTCGTCGTTTAGTACTTCTTTTGTGGTTTTATAGCCCGAATCTTCTGCCCAACTTAGGTGGTGTTGACGCAGCAAATTCAGCGTGTACACGCAAAACAAAATAAAAAGTTCTTATAAACAATTAGCAAGCAGGTCCGAGTCTTTCCTTGAAAACACAAGTAAGCCGTTGATTAATTATTAAGGGTTTGTTTAGTTCGTTAATTCGAATTGATATGTGATTTTATGTGAAAGTTTTTTACTGTAGTAAAAAAGTTAGATGTAACTGTTTTTTAAAGTTTTTTACTGTAACAAAACTCGAATCGGTGAAATGAACGGGGGCCTTAACACATTTTCTTCCCAAAAATCCGATGCTGGTCAATCCTTTTTAGTTACAACTTCTTGGTGATAAGTACAGAGGTTTTTGAAAAATGAGACAAATATTCTTAGAGTGTATGGATTTAGATTTTTATATCTTCTTGTTAATTAACATATTTTTTTAATTAAATAATTATATTAGTTAAAAGGGTATTAATTAAGAGCATGAGGTAAAAATTTAAATTCGTAAAAATTTAAATTCATACTTTAAGAGTAAGTTCAACAATTTTTTTGAGTTTGTTTTAGGTGGGCATCTTGGTTTTAAATCAATAGTAGTCGCAGAAGGAAATGATTCAAATGAAGGGAAGAGAAAAGGCACTTCGTGCCATGGATGCTGTGAAAATAGGTTTGCTTGCAGTATTAACACTTTTTTCATTAGTTAATGCTTTCACAATGCACACACCAATAAGAAAATATTTGGTGATTTTGGTTCACTATTTCTTGGAATCTTTCGAGATAATCAAAATTAATTAAATTAATGAATTATCATTTGCAATGTGCTATATGTCAAGGTCCACGCTTTGATCTTGTCTATTTGCTTTGTAACCAAGAATCGGGGAGAAGAAAAGCACTCTAATTTCTATGAATAAAGAAAGAATGAGATTAGTGTTGACCTATTGGGCTGGTCTCCGTCGTTCTGCTAGTCTGGTTTTATTTTTAGTTTTAGATAAAGCTCGAAAACTTATGCCCTGAGTTTCTTTTTTTTTTTTTCCCCTGCTTCTTTTGATAATCAGTTTTTTTAACATAGGTGGCAATTTGAATTCTACATTTTAAGATGAAATCATATGTGAATTTACTACTAGACTTACACTGCTGACAACCACCTTCTTTTAATAATTGTGTGCATCAAGGGGGTTTTTTTTTTTTCCTTCCTTAAAATAGGTAATTTGTATTTCAAATTAAAGAATCACAAACACCCATACCGAGCTCGGTATGTGATTGTTGGCATAGTCTAACAGTAATTTCACATCTGACTCTACCACAAAGTGATGAGTTCAAATCCCAAACCCCTAATAGGTCAAAAATTACATATCAACCTCAATATAAATAGGCATTTAACCGCAACAGGCGGCTGGTTCTACTTTCTTTTGATAATTATATGCACCGAGGTTTAAGATGAACGCTAATTTCTTTCAGCAAGTTGCAGCCTTTACCAATTTGTTTGAGTTAAATAAAAAACTAGAGAGTAAAAAATACGAGTAGCATTCTATACATAATTAAATAAAAGCATTATTTCGGAGACGCACACTAATAATTTTTTTGAATTAAGTAATACATAGAAGAGCCCCGGCCGGTATATGAATTAAGTATTTACTAAAATTGATAAGTTTTAGTCCTATAGGCGGATTCATATTTCGTATTCCCCAATGAAATATGTGAACCTAAAGATTTTGATTTATGTGATTTCTTTTTATATCAATATCAGACTCACTTTTTTAGCTTTGTTAGCTAGTACATAACAATTGAACACATGGTAATTTCTACCATACACTCTAGTTCAAGACATTTAAGGATTTTTTTTTTTTTTAAAGAGCATAATTATGAATCAGCAAATAAACATGCATCAAAATAGGATTTGGAATAGATAAAATTGATTGATCTCAACAATTTGATTGATTAATATATATCTACTGTAAAGTGTTAGAGAGAGAGAGAGAACATTAAGTCTAAACTTAAATTTGTGTTTCTCATTATTAATTAATTTCGATCAAGGTTATGGAATATCTCCGCACTTAGATTTTTAACCCAGTCAGGTGGCAATGGCCTTTTCTCCAAATTACCAGTCCCTCACGGACTTTTCAGTGCAAAAAAGAGAGAAAGAGAAAAATAGATCAAGAGTTGAGATGAATTAAAATTAATAGGTCAATAGTTTACATAAGTTAATAAATAGGCCAAATTACTGTTTTCGTCCATAACTTGTCTGGTTATGAACCATAACTTGACAAGTTATTCACAATTTTTATCCATAACTAGTCTGACTATGAACCATAACTTGACAAGTTTGTTCATAACTTATCTGGTTATGAACCATAACTTGATAAGTTATGACCTATTAATTTCTATAACTAAAAATTGACCTATATACTTTCTTAAGCTTTTCATATTAGCCTATTTTATACTATTTTCGTGCAAAAAATAGGAAAGTCATGAATACACGTAATGTCCACCAATTAGTTTTTACCCGGCAGCTATATTTTCTAAAAGGAAGTTTCGCCTTTTATTATTATTATTATTATTTTGCTTGTTTTTACAATAACGAATTAATTTAAAAATAAAATATTCCCTTAGCAAATTTAAATGCATGCATCTAGAACGGGCCAAACCCTATCCCAATAGTATCCGATCTACAATTTTTTTAAAATTTATAAATATTATATATATATATATAATTAATGTGGGTTTTGGCTGGCGATGGCATATGGAAAAAGCTTTCAAGTTGCATTCGACTGATTATATTATTAACAACTTCAACACTTTATGAAATAATTAAGAAAAGAAGATTAGGAGACTTTTTTTTCTCTCTCGTTTTGCATTTAGTTAAAGCAACTTGATAATGAGTAAGCCACATAAAAGAAACATGCTTACTAAGTCTTTCCAACTCCACCTAAGTTTAACTTAATTTAAACTTTGGATAATATAATATGTGAAGGATTTGATTAGGGCGCTTTATAAGCTGGATTGGAAGAAGTGATCAAATAAATGCAAAAGAATAATCATGTATACATATACACACATAAAAGTGGTTTTTTTTTTTTTTTTTAATATTCCATCGAGAAGTCATGTCTGTGGAGAAAAATTTGCAAACGAAGGAAGAATATGAACTGTTGAAATTTAAGTAGTTTCAAATTGGATTGAAAATTCCAATTATATTCTGCATGATTCTCCTGCACTATAGTAAGGCATTTTTCTTCCCCTTAAACTGCTCTTAAAAATATGTGCTCCATTAATTTTGAAAAAGAAAAAAGAAAGGGGAAAAAAAAAGGAGACCCAAATCACCTTTTTTTTTTTTATAACTTTATAATATTCTTTTGATTTTTTTAATAAAAAAAGAGACTTTCGTAGCATCGGAAAGAAAAAGTGCATTTCCAAGTAAAAGAAACGAAAATGCTACTTTGTCCACATTATACAATTCGAAAAAGGTGTTCCAAATGGGGTTCCTTTCACATTTATAAAAAAAAAAAAGATTTCTTTACTAAAGAAATTCCATGTTATCAAAACTCTCTACTTTCTATTCCTATTGCAAACTGAAAGCAGCCGGGACCACAAAACCCACAATTTCAATTCTGAAAAGAAACCAACAAAGTTAATCATCAAGTCCATTAAAACCTGAAAAGATGGCTTTAAAACAAAAGGTTTTCAGTACCATTACAAGCATCCACGACTTTATCGATAAATTTTCCCTTTAAAGTGTTTCTCCATAAAGGTTGATTTATAATCCCCATAGTTTTTTCTGTCTTCTACAAGATTATTATAATATATATTATGCAACTTATATATATATATATATGTATTTATATATATATATATATGCATCACTTGCAAGGAGGCAAACTGGCTCATTGGTGGAATCTGATTGGACAAAACTGATTCAAGACATGTGAGTACTTCTTCCTTATGAAGCTGTTGTAATAATTGTATTTTTTTACATCAAAACAATCGATCATGAGAGATCAAGTACCGTTCTTTATTAAAGTGACGTAGTACCACTACCAAAAAATATCTACTAAATATATATATGTGTAATATATATGTGAAATTCTTATATTTAAATTTGTACGTAATTAAGTGTATGAAAAATATACAGATGATTTTGTCCATATTGCACTGGGAATGTGAAACGGAATCTCGTTTCTATAATGGTAGTCTTGCAGCATAAACTAATATTTGATTCTTTAATTAATTAAAGCTTGATCTGATTCTGAAGATTAATTAAACTAGTGGATAAAGAGGAACTTGCTAGATCTATTCACGATAACTTAAGATAACAATTGATGATAGTGAATTAAGGTGAGAATTGGTTTTCTTAGCCAAAAAAAATAAAAAAAAAGTAAGATCGAATTGATTCTAAACCTTATCATATATTCGCATTTAAAAAAAAATGATAAAAAGTAATTGATCATATATTATCTGTATATGCTATATGCACACTTTAATTATGTTAGCACAAACTTTTAATTTGTTAGTGGTATTTAAAGAGAGAAAGCATGCAGATAATTATAAGTTGGATTGGAATTGGAAGAGCACTTTGAACTTTCCCCTATTTTCATGCCTTTTTAGACCAACTGATTAAATCTTTCATCTCCTTTTACCTTTTTTTTTTTCTTTTCTTTTGGCTAGCATAAAGTTGCACTAGAGCTTCAACTGTTGGGGCTATATGCATGATGTGGAAAATGTAATCCATCAAAAGTTATATTGCCCAAATGCGTAGACAATATCTCTTAAAGCAAAAACAAGAATGCTTTTATCTTTATCTCTTTTTTTTCTTACCTTACTTTTTTTGGCCATATGTACACAAGGAACTTCAAATTTTTATGCTCCCATCATCTTTGACACTTTGCAAAGGTACCTACCTGGATTAGGACCCACTTTTTAGGCTCGTTTTAGTTTTATAATACAAACAGGATGATGACGTGGAGTAATGATGTGTACAAAAAGCTCACCCTCAGCTTTTCCACGCCACCTAGCTGGCTCCTCTCTTCTCTTATATCAATAAATAATCACATGGATTTTTTAATTTTTCTTTTCTTTTTATTTTTTTTACTAATTTTTCTTTTCAAAAAGCACTTTTTAATCTCTCACCTCCCGTATATTGTCTATATATATACAAGCACTTCCACACCACCTCTCGTTGAAACCATATAGAAAAGAAAATATAGTCTCTCTTTCTATCTGGTTTTGTATTATTATAAACTCCATTATACATATATATAGATATATAATAAATCTTGAGAAAATTTTTATGGCTGATCAGGGTCGGATCAACGGCAAAGATGTGCCGGGAATTAAGCTCTTTGGGACAACAATCACTCTGCAAAACAGCAGACAATTAGTGAAAGAAGAGCCCAACGAGAAAGCTGATCAGACGATGGAGATGAAAAGGCCAGAAAAGATCATACCTTGCCCTAGATGCAAAAGCATGGAGACCAAGTTTTGTTACTTCAACAACTACAACGTTAACCAGCCAAGACACTTTTGTAAGGGCTGCCAGAGGTACTGGACGGCCGGTGGGGCCCTCCGGAACGTGCCGGTCGGTGCCGGTCGACGGAAAACCAAACCACCCTGCCGTGGCCTAGCCGGCTTGCCGGAGGGTTGCCTTTATGAGGCTTCTGAGGTAGTGCACCAGTTTGACTTGGATGGTATGGTAGAAGAGTGGCACGTGGTGGCTTCTCAGGGCGGTTTCCGCCCTGTTTTCCCGGTCGGGAAGCGGCGGCGGAGTAGTTCAGGTAGCCAGACGTGTGCTTAACCATTTTCTTATTTTTTTTTTCTTTTCTTCTTCTCTATTCTCTATTGTTAGTTAGCTAGTATCAAACAATATTTAAGGTTTACAAAAGAGAGAGAGAGAGAGAGAGAGAGAGAGAGAGAGAGAGAGAGAGAGAGAGAGAGAGAGAGAGAGAG